TGTTACGGAAGAGGTCTGACACAACAGGTTAGTATACATAAAACAGGTTTATTTGGTCACAGAGAGAACTGGGGTAGGGTCCAGAGGAGGTGATGGTGAATGAATAGTTTGAAGGATATGATGAGTGGGGGAATCCGAGTCTTTGGCTTTACAGGAGCTGGAATGTAGGCAGGAGGAGCACACACCTCAGCAATCCGTGAACAAGGAGGAACAGGAGACACTAGGAGGAACACAGGAGGTAAGTAATGCAGGAAGTATTCAAATGGAAGTAGTAGCAAAGTCATTGAGTCCTCTACGTGTATACGAGACCGGACAGTGAGGGTGTCTGAGGTGTGTGCTTTTATGCAGGCTGGTGATGAGGTGCTTGATTGGTGACAGGTGCAGGTGCTCAGTACTCAGGTGAAGGTGGTTGCGGTGATTGGGAGGTGACTGAGTCTGGCCGATCTGTGACACCTGTGAGGGCAAAGCTGAATTTTCAGCAGCTGTTAGTAAACAATCCTTATTAATATCAATGTTGAAAACAGTTGTGCTGCTTTATATTTTTTTGTAACCATGATACTTTTTTATTTTTATTTTTACATTTCGAAAGAACTGCATTTATTTGAACTAAAAATGTTCTGTATCATTATACATAAATGTCTCTAAACTTGACTCTAAACTTTTGAACAGTAGCATAATTTGCTTGCAATAATGAAAACCTGTGTTTTCCCTTTTTATTTTTTTAAACACAGGATAAATGTATGTAAACAAGAATTACAGTTGTAAGGAAAACATGAATCATTAACCCAATATTCGACCAAATTGCCTCGATTTCCACTTTAAGAATTAAAGTGTTACATTTTAATTATGGTTAAAATTAAGATTCTAAACCAGAATTTAAAAGTGAAATGTGTATGGTCAGTATAAAGACTGAAGTCAGCTATTTTCTCCTATGTCTTCAGGCAATTGTTTTAACACTGCAAATGGCACTTTTCCTTTTATCTCAGACATCAAATTAAAGTCATAAATCAGTCATATCCCTTGTAACGTGTCTGTTTATCAGAAAGCAATATTCAGCTTTTAACTGAGTGGAAAGGTTACACATGTGGCAGTAGGCTTGATGTTGCATTGCGTTGTGGAAGTGCTGGTATGCCCAAGTCGGTACTAAAAATAACAGGATAATATACAGTATCTGTAAGTGAATCTCTGTGTTTTTGAGCGAGCAGGTCTTTGGCGACATCAGCTGGAGTGTGTGTGTGCGTTTGAGAAGCTGCAGCTCTCAGTGAATTCCAGCAGAGACATGCTGGACTCAGACAGCCAGTGTCTACGTGGCAAGGCTTGATGAGAGTTTAAGTTCTACTTGGCAGACATGAAGTGTACAACATTGAGAATTACTGCAAAAGTGGTGGGAGGAGAGAAGGGTGAGAGGTTTTTTCCTCAGAAAATGGCCTGCAAAATTAGGTTTCATAATCAGACATGCGGGAAAAATTCCTCTGCTCTGTTTATATAATTTATTTGTATTTTATTTGGTTTAGATAACTGCGTTAGAGAGTTCTTTTGTGCATTACCATGCAAATTTATTGGCCAAAGTTGACCTTGACTTAGTCTTTGACCTTCTAGATCTGTATTGACTATAATGATGGATGACAATGGTGAACATGCTAACATGCTGCAAGGTATGCTAACAAGGACATGTCTGCATGTAGTGTCAAGCATTTATATGACTTCAGACACTGTTGCAGCACTCTTTCTAGAAAGCTCTCATTCAGTTCACTTACACAATCATAAAATGACTTCTTGTTACTGTAACCTGAGAAAGAGGGCTAGCCTTCACAATACTGAATCATCAATACTCTGTGCTTTCTCTTCAAACATTGCTTTTGGCATTTTGTTCACTGACCTATCAGAATAATACAGGTGAAGCCAGAGTTTCTCTCCTCGGTGGATCGTTTGTCATTTGAGGACGGCTTTTTTTCCAAAGGAGGACATGCTAATTAATAAGCATGTTTAAATCCAAATTGCAAATTTAATCTAATACCAATACGGCGCTGACAATTATATTCATTATTTAATTTTCACCAATACAAAGCTGATATTAAAATGATATATTTTGACTAAATAAATTTAAAAATAAAGCATCACAGTTACATTTACTCTGTAAATTACAGTAAATAGCATTAAATTGAAATA